CAGCAGGAAATCTTACTGAGGAACCCAATGTAAGTCAGACCTGGATTTGAATCCCAGATCTGCCACATATTATACTAGCGGGTCACTGGCCAAGGTAATCTCTCGGCCCAGTTTCCTCCTCTGTAAGAGACAGCGATTACCAAGTTTCATGTAACTTGTTTCACCCTGACTCAGAAGTGCTCTAACGCGCTAACCATAAAGTAAGCTGTCTTTCCATCACAGCTAATGCTGTAGCTTTTAAAGCCTCAATTTCTATTTGTCTTTTTCCTTTCTGTCTCTCATTCATGTGAGTATGCACAATACTGCATTTTTATACATTATCAAGAATAAGGCACTTTATCCTAAAATTAACTTTCATCACATAGAAAACGAAGGGTTTGGATGAAATAATTACACATACCCTTTCCAGTTCCAATATTATATACATTTCTGGCTTTCATGGAAGGATACTGCTGATTATAGTGGACATAAAACAGAAAGCATTTGTGGGTCAAATTTGTCTCGGAATAAATTCTGGCTTAGGATGTACATTTTGTATTTCTGCAGGAGATAAAGAGCCAATTTGTCAACTTTTTTAAAATACAGAGACTTGCTTTGATCACAGAGCACTTTTAGCATCTACAAAACAGCATGGAGTCATTGCGTATGTGTACGTGTGGACTTCATCATTTCTGTCGCTCTGTGCTCTCCTGGCTCTCCTCGTGTCTCTCTGATCACTCTTTCTCTGATGCTCCTGTTATCCGTTCAGGTTGGTCCCTTCCTAAGAGCAGCACTTAAAATTGGCTTCTTGTGATATGCTCTCATCCTCAGCAATCTCATTTATTCTTAAAACTTCAGCTGCCATCTCTGTAAAAATCTTTTCTGGATAATATGGAGGTGGGTGGTCTCTAAAGACCTCTCTGGTCAAATTAAAATAATAATAATAAAAAAAGCTAAATGGAACAATTCATAAAAAACATAAAAAAGCAAATCTTAAAATTTACACACCAGGCTCACTTTAATTAAGACACAATAAAATTAGTGTTATATGATGGCCCACTGGATGCCTCTCAGCTCCAGCATCCTCAGGGTTTGGGTTGCAGCAGCATTGGCGTTGCTGATCATTTTTCCACATTTGTCCTTTTGAACCCTAAATAAGCACTTTATAAGCTTGTGTCATAGAATAACCTTTGCTACTCCTTTTTGTTCTTTAAAAATGCGTATTTTTTTAAGAGGTTTTTTCGCTATAGGGCATGTGCGCTCCCCAGACAGAGAGAGTCATAGAGACAGAAAGCGAGAAATCACCCCCCAGGAGGGATGGTCACGCCGCAATCCCTTCTCCTCCATTCTCCTCTCGGGATCTCGGGCATACACGCTTACGCACCCGGTGTGAGTTTAAGCCACCGGGTCTGGGACGCGAACCGCAGTCGACTACGTGGGAGTCCAGCGACATAGCCATTACGCTAACTGCTGGTTCCTGAAAAATGCACATATTTTTTTAACTCATGAAAGAGCATGTATGTGCACATGCTCATGAGAAAGAGAGAGAGGAACCAGTAAATGGTGTAATGGTTACATTGCCGGACTCCCACATAGTCGACTGCAGTTCAAGTCCTGGACCTGGGAACTTAAAACTCGCACTGGGTGCATATGCATGCATGCTCAAAATCCCAAGAGGAGAACAGAGGAGAAGGGATTGCAGCATGGCCATCCTCCAGGGGGTGATTTCTCACTTTCTATCTCTATCTCTGGTGAGCATATATGCTCTACAACAAAAATCTCTCTAAAAAGAAAAAAAAAAAGTAAACACCCCCTCGAGAAACATCCTCTCTCTATACAGGGTCTGGTCACACCATGATACCCTCACTACAATCCAGTCCTCAAGCCTGCTCGATCCTGGCATTCATAGACTTACCTGGAGTGTTTAGAGGTTAGTGGGCCAGAAAATCAAACTACAGTTGCCATGTGGGATCCAGCTTCTCAAGCATGATGTTTCTGCTCTTCTGTAGGGCTGGCTCAGTCTTTGCTGTTTCTTCTTGTCCTAGATATAAGAAGGGTGATTTGAACTTTATTATCTTTGCTTCTAAGTTAAGCTGTTTTCTGCCTACTCTCATATACTGAGCAGTTGTAGCTGTGAGGTGGGGTGGGGACACTTTGGGGTCTCTCTGTGCCTCTGATCACATGCTGTGAGAGCTCCGAGTTTAAAAAGAAAAAGAAATGCATCCAAATAAATTCATACTTTAATTCCATTTTCCTGTGAACTTTTTGAAGTCCCTCATATATAGTGGTTTTGTGGAGGATTTTACTGGTTTGTTTTACCTATAAATTTGGTATAGGTACATTGGATACAAGAAAACAAACAGAAATACTATAGTTAAAAACAAAACAAAACAAAAACCTGAACATTAACTTAAGGTCAGTTTTGAGCTGAAGAATTGATAGCACTTAAAAACTTCCTAGCTGAGGCCAGGAAGTAGCAAGGTGGTTAAAGCACTGGACTCCCACATGGCCAACTGCAGTTCTAGTCCTAGACCTGGCAGCTTGCTTTCTAACTTTCTCTTTTTTTCTCTCTTGCATGTGTCCTATAGCAAATTTAAAAATAATAATAATTAGTATTAAGTAAATAATTATTTAAAAGGATTTGCTGGCCCAAAATATTATTGAATGTGGATCAGTCTCTATGTTGCTTAAAGTGTTATAAGGAAGAAAAATTCCAAGATTTATGATCCAGGAAAACTCTCATAGAGCTCCACGAAGTATAATTTTGTTAAGAACCTGAAGTATTACTCACATAAAACATTTAATCTGTAAGTATCTGAGCTCTGGCATGTAGGAAATTAGAAAGTTTGGCCCTCTCTGATCACTCTTTCTCTGATGCTCCTGTTATCCGTTCAGGTTGGTCCCTTCCTAAGAGCAGCACTTAAAATTGGCTTCTTGTGATATGCTCTCATCCTCAGCAATCTCATTTATTCTTAAAACTTCAGCTGCCATCTCTGTAAAAATCTTTTCTGGATAATATGGAGGTGGGTGGTCTCTAAAGACCTCTCTGGTCAAATTAAAATAATAATAATAAAAAAAGCTAAATGGAACAATTCATAAAAAACATAAAAAAGCAAATCTTAAAATTTACACACCAGGCTCACTTTAATTAAGACACAATAAAATTAGTGTTATATGATGGCCCACTGGATGCCTCTCAGCTCCAGCATCCTCAGGGTTTGGGTTGCAGCAGCATTGGCGTTGCTGATCATTTTTCCACATTTGTCCTTTTGAACCCTAAATAAGCACTTTATAAGCTTGTGTCATAGAATAACCTTTGCTACTCCTTTTTGTTCTTTAAAAATGCGTATTTTTTTAAGAGGTTTTTTCGCTATAGGGCATGTGCGCTCCCCAGACAGAGAGAGTCATAGAGACAGAAAGCGAGAAATCACCCCCCAGGAGGGATGGTCACGCCGCAATCCCTTCTCCTCCATTCTCCTCTCGGGATCTCGGGCATACACGCTTACGCACCCGGTGTGAGTTTAAGCCACCGGGTCTGGGACGCGAACCGCAGTCGACTACGTGGGAGTCCAGCGACATAGCCATTACGCTAACTGCTGGTTCCTGAAAAATGCACATATTTTTTTAACTCATGAAAGAGCATGTATGTGCACATGCTCATGAGAAAGAGAGAGAGGAACCAGTAAATGGTGTAATGGTTACATTGCCGGACTCCCACATAGTCGACTGCAGTTCAAGTCCTGGACCTGGGAACTTAAAACTCGCACTGGGTGCATATGCATGCATGCTCAAAATCCCAAGAGGAGAACAGAGGAGAAGGGATTGCAGCATGGCCATCCTCCAGGGGGTGATTTCTCACTTTCTATCTCTATCTCTGGTGAGCATATATGCTCTACAACAAAAATCTCTCTAAAAAGAAAAAAAAAAAGTAAACACCCCCTCGAGAAACATCCTCTCTCTATACAGGGTCTGGTCACACCATGATACCCTCACTACAATCCAGTCCTCAAGCCTGCTCGATCCTGGCATTCATAGACTTACCTGGAGTGTTTAGAGGTTAGTGGGCCAGAAAATCAAACTACAGTTGCCATGTGGGATCCAGCTTCTCAAGCATGATGTTTCTGCTCTTCTGTAGGGCTGGCTCAGTCTTTGCTGTTTCTTCTTGTCCTAGATATAAGAAGGGTGATTTGAACTTTATTATCTTTGCTTCTAAGTTAAGCTGTTTTCTGCCTACTCTCATATACTGAGCAGTTGTAGCTGTGAGGTGGGGTGGGGACACTTTGGGGTCTCTCTGTGCCTCTGATCACATGCTGTGAGAGCTCCGAGTTTAAAAAGAAAAAGAAATGCATCCAAATAAATTCATACTTTAATTCCATTTTCCTGTGAACTTTTTGAAGTCCCTCATATATAGTGGTTTTGTGGAGGATTTTACTGGTTTGTTTTACCTATAAATTTGGTATAGGTACATTGGATACAAGAAAACAAACAGAAATACTATAGTTAAAAACAAAACAAAACAAAAACCTGAACATTAACTTAAGGTCAGTTTTGAGCTGAAGAATTGATAGCACTTAAAAACTTCCTAGCTGAGGCCAGGAAGTAGCAAGGTGGTTAAAGCACTGGACTCCCACATGGCCAACTGCAGTTCTAGTCCTAGACCTGGCAGCTTGCTTTCTAACTTTCTCTTTTTTTCTCTCTTGCATGTGTCCTATAGCAAATTTAAAAATAATAATAATTAGTATTAAGTAAATAATTATTTAAAAGGATTTGCTGGCCCAAAATATTATTGAATGTGGATCAGTCTCTATGTTGCTTAAAGTGTTATAAGGAAGAAAAATTCCAAGATTTATGATCCAGGAAAACTCTCATAGAGCTCCACGAAGTATAATTTTGTTAAGAACCTGAAGTATTACTCACATAAAACATTTAATCTGTAAGTATCTGAGCTCTGGCATGTAGGAAATTAGAAAGTTTGGCCTCTCAGTTCTGAGCTTTGAAAGGGAATATTGGAGGGGGGGGACAAACAAACAAAACTGACAGCTGTCTGTGCCATATGCAATAGCTCTCTGTATGTTGAGATTGAGAAGGGCCTGTAGGACTATTAAGGATTTTACTGTGAAATAGTCTTAATGTCCAAGACAAGAAAGAAATTGACGCACTTTACGAATACCATTGGCTTCATGTTATCTTCCACTTCAGAATATGCGGAACAGACAGGCGTGAGCAGCTGGAGTGTGGTTATAGTAACCCACTTATCCTACAGCAGTTTTAGAATCACTGAAGTGCTAAGAATTATGGAGACTGGAATGTAAAGTAGTCTTCCTCATACGCTGATCACTTAGAATTTATACCATCTATGTCCATTGCTAAGCCTTTGATGTTTGTTAAAGAAGGATACAAGAAGGGATACAGTCAGTGTAATTTGTAAGTGACTTAGGGACTCATATTATGCCTTGAACAATTTGGACAATAACTGTTTAGATTTACTTGAGCATTTGTGTATTTGTACATTTTAGAAGTTTATTTTATGAGAGAGAGAGGGTGCTTGAGAAAGACAAGCATCCTCAACAGAGCCTCAGGCTGCAATTCCCCCAACCCCACACCCTTCCCAGCCAGCCAGGATCACACGGCACCTGGTGTGTACAGACGACGCAGGACCTGAACCTCGATCTTCCATATGACTTCCAGCACCGCGTTGTCTTACCCCTGTGCCACCACGGCCGGGCCTGTGTCTGTACATTTTAGTATTCACGCATACATGCCTTTTCTTAAGGTCCTTCAATAATACTGAAGGACTTCATTTTCAGTTGCCCTTTACAAATTTTCCAGTAGATCTTGTAGAAACAATATCTGGTATAACAATTTGACCCCAGAATTTTGCGAAAAACTTCAATTTTTCAACAATCTGAATACCTACAGTTAAGATTTTCTTAGTTTGGAAGGCAGACTAGAATCATCATATGAGGAGACTTCAAAAAGTTTGTGTGGAAAAATGAAATTAAAGAGTTAGGGTGCCAAAAAACAAAGAGTTCAAAATCCATACATAGGTCTGTAGAATGTGCATTTTTTCCCATGAACTTTGGGGGGGACCCCTTATACCATCATGATTGTTTATTTAGAAAGCCCAGTGACAAACCTACAGCTCCCTCATATCTGACCGCTTTCTTTCTCAGTACTAAAGGGCTAGGGACAGAACTTAATAGCCTGACTGAAAAACGTAGTCTCATTCGTACGTAGAGGCCCGTGTCATTATTTCTCGGCCTTTTGGCTAAGGTCAAGTGAAGATGTCTGGGTCAGAAGAAGATATTTTTAGAAAACAAAATAAATTTCTTATTTGCAGCAAAATTTTAAACTTTAACTACATGCTTTTTTATTTTGGGTCATTGACAATGACAGGTCTATTTTAAACTCCTCCTGCCTCGTGGCATAATATGCCATGGTATAATAGAAACCCTGTGATAAGTCAGCACATTTTTAATGCATTCACCCTTCACTTTCTTTCCCAACAACGACCTGATCGCAGTGTTGAGATGGTATTAATACAGGGTTCTGCTCCTGCCTTTGGCCAACGCATTTATTTTCCTTGAATATCCTTATTGGCATGTAAATTATGTACCATGAAGCTGAACTTGAATTTATGCCTTTTCTTAAGGTCCTTCAATACTACTGAAGGACCTCATTTTTAGTTGCCCTTTACACATTTTCCCGTAGATCTTGTAGAAACGATTAATATCTGGTACAATTTCATGAGTTGTTTAAATTTACAGAATTATGAAACTACTACAATCTATCACCACATTTCCATCACCGACAAAGATTCCTTGCACTTCCGAATCAGCATTTTCATCCATGTATGTGTTAGTTGTTTCTATAGAGCACACATGCTTACCTGAGAGACAGTGAGAGAGAAGGAAAGTGAGAAATGCCCCTCAGAGGGCGGAGTCATGCTGTAATCCCTTCTCCATTCTCCTGTCAGGATTTTGGGGACACACACACACACACACACACACACACACACTTAGTGTGTGTTTAAAGCCCCAGGGTCCAGGACTTGAACCTTGCAGTCAGCCATGTGGGATCCAGCTGCCTTAACCTCCATCCCACCAGCTGACTGATAATCTAGCATATTTGATACAGACGCTTCCTTCTTCTCTGATCCTACATGACTTTGTATGCAATTCCATTGAACATAAATTGCAATATTTTATTTAAAATGCACAAATCATCATCATCTGTCTGTTTTCCCTGATAGATTATGAGTCCATCTCTGGGTCTTAATCAAGTGGTAATATCATTTCTAGGCAATCAGCTACTTCTTCTGAGTCCCCCTCTGAAACTGCTCTGACTCCCCTAATCCCACCCCAAGTGACAGTAGCATCCAGGCATTTTCTTCCTGGAGGAGAGCTGGGCATGGCTTCCCATGCTTTCTCCTGTGTTCCATATCCTTTCTCCAAGATGATGCTGTGCCTCTCAAAGTTTTCTGGGTTGAAAGCCACAGAGGACTCTTACCAAGAGGGGGCTACTTATTATGGGTCCTGCCATCACGCCATCTTTCACTTGTCTAGACCTTGGGTTTTCACTGAGACAACGTCTGGCTTTTAGGATGGTCATGAGGTAGAGACATTTTAAGGCTTTTGTTTGTTTGTTTGTTTTTGTCATTTTTTGGATTTTTTAAGAGAGATTTTTGCCATAGGGTGGTGCACTCACCAGAGAGGCAAAGTGAGAAATCACCCCCAGGGGGCTGGCCATGCTGCAATCCCATCTTCTTTATTCTCCTCTTGAGATTTTGGGTGTGCATGCACACGTGTCTAGCATGAGTTTCAAGCCTCCAACTCTAAGACTCAAACCATAGTCGGCCATGTCAGAGTCCAGCATCGTAACCAGTATGCCATATGCTGGTCCTGAGACATTAAACTGTGATTGCCGCTGGAATGATTGGCAGACCAAGGTGGAGTTTGGTATCTGACTCGTACGCCATCCCCTTCTTTAATATTCTGACTGGAAGAGTAGGTACACAGAGCAGAGCAGAGTGCTCTGTGAGTCAAATGAAGTCAAGCTTCAGCTCTGTAACCTAGAGTGCCCTCAGGAAGTTAGGCTGGCAAAGACAGTGGGACCTGAGGAACCACCGGGTCTTTTGAGCTCATCACCCTAACTGGATTGCAGGCTGAGGAGCCAGAGCTAAAGAACAGAGGTTAGCCCTGCTCCTCGGAGTTTCTACAAAGGAAGACAAAAGCTTAACGCCGGCAAAGAAGTGAGGCGGGGGTAAAGGTACAGAGTATCTTGCCTCTGAGACACTTAAATGTGGGTCACTGGGACTAATTACTTCTCCTTTATTGTAAGGAAAGAACAGGAGCTTCTCCTTCAGCCCCCTATCTAGTATTAGAGATGTGTTCCATTTCAGGGGCCAGAAGGTGGCATTCTGGTTAAGGCTCTGGACTCCTACATGGCTGATCACAGTTTGAATCCCAGACTTGGTGGCTTGAAAATCATATTGAGTGCATGTTCATACTTGCCAAAAATCTCAAGAAGAGAATGGAGGAGAAGGAATTGTGGCATGGCCATTGCCCCCAGGGGGGGATTTTCCCTTTCCCTCTCACTGCCTCTCTGTCTCTCTACATGTGCCCTTTGGCAAAAACCTTAAAAATAAATGTACTCAGTTTTGTTGTGGTAGAGGGCTTGCATGGTAAGATTTGGGCTATGAGTCTTGTATCAGAGGGAGGAGGTATGTTTTTTGTTTTGTTTGATTGCAGCAGTTGACCTAAATTTATCAATGTAGACTTCCATTTCAGGTCTGCTGCTATGGAGACACTTGAGGTCTGATCTTTATGCCTCACCCTGTACCCACAGAGTTACATAATCATGGAATAATAGAACTACAGTGGATTCAAGTCAGCTGTCTTTCTCTGAGAGCTGTTTTGTTGAAAGTCAGTGGGGATTCCAGAGACCTTTATGCTGTTCCTAGGTTCCCACTCCATGGACAGGCTTTGCTGGCTTGTCTTTACTGACTCACAGCAAGCCTTGACTTTCGTATGTGAGAGATGGTGTGGCTGACTTCAGGTCACAGTGGGATTTGAAGAAAAACAGATACTCTGACTCAGGAGTCCTGATTTTTTTTCTGCAGAGCGTAATCCCACCTTTAAGATTGACCAAATTAATCAGAAGCAGTGGCAAAGTAACGTGTAAGTATATTAGTTTCCTGCCATGACCAAATGCCACAAACTGAGTGGCTTAAAAAATTGAAATTTATTGGCTCACAGTACTGAAGGCTAGAAGTATGAGATCAAGGTATCAAGAAGGTGGACTCCCTCTGAGGACTGTGAAGGAGAATCTATACTATGCCTCTTTTCCAGCTTCTGGTAGCTTCAGGGGTTCCTTTACTTGGTGATGACTTCTTGTGTTTTTATTTTTATTTATTTATTTATTTTATTTTTTGGAGAGGTTTTCGCTATAGGGCGCATGCGCTCGCCAGACAGACAGAGATATAGAGAGAGAAAGCGAGAAATCACCCCCCAGAGGGGATGGCCACGCCGCAATCCCTTCTCCTCCATTCTCCTCTCGGGATCTTGGGCACACACGCACACGCGCCCGGCGTGAGTTCTAAGCCACCGGGTCCGGGACATGGACCACGGTCGACTACGTGGGAGTCCAGCGACATAGCCAGTGCCCTTTGGCAAAAACCTTAAAAATAAATGTACTCAGTTTTGTTGTGGTAGAGGGCTTGCATGGTAAGATTTGGGCTATGAGTCTTGTATCAGAGGGAGGAGGTATGTTTTTTGTTTTGTTTGATTGCAGCAGTTGACCTAAATTTATCAATGTAGACTTCCATTTCAGGTCTGCTGCTATGGAGACACTTGAGGTCTGATCTTTATGCCTCACCCTGTACCCACAGAGTTACATAATCATGGAATAATAGAACTACAGTGGATTCAAGTCAGCTGTCTTTCTCTGAGAGCTGTTTTGTTGAAAGTCAGTGGGGATTCCAGAGACCTTTATGCTGTTCCTAGGTTCCCACTCCATGGACAGGCTTTGCTGGCTTGTCTTTACTGACTCACAGCAAGCCTTGACTTTCGTATGTGAGAGATGGTGTGGCTGACTTCAGGTCACAGTGGGATTTGAAGAAAAACAGATACTCTGACTCAGGAGTCCTGATTTTTTTTCTGCAGAGCGTAATCCCACCTTTAAGATTGACCAAATTAATCAGAAGCAGTGGCAAAGTAACGTGTAAGTATATTAGTTTCCTGCCATGACCAAATGCCACAAACTGAGTGGCTTAAAAAATTGAAATTTATTGGCTCACAGTACTGAAGGCTAGAAGTATGAGATCAAGGTATCAAGAAGGTGGACTCCCTCTGAGGACTGTGAAGGAGAATCTATACTATGCCTCTTTTCCAGCTTCTGGTAGCTTCAGGGGTTCCTTTACTTGGTGATGACTTCTTGTGTTTTTATTTTTATTTATTTATTTATTTTATTTTTTGGAGAGGTTTTCGCTATAGGGCGCATGCGCTCGCCAGACAGACAGAGATATAGAGAGAGAAAGCGAGAAATCACCCCCCAGAGGGGATGGCCACGCCGCAATCCCTTCTCCTCCATTCTCCTCTCGGGATCTTGGGCACACACGCACACGCGCCCGGCGTGAGTTCTAAGCCACCGGGTCCGGGACATGGACCACGGTCGACTACGTGGGAGTCCAGCGACATAGCCATTACGCTAACTGCTGGTTCCCAACTTCTTGTGTTTTTACATCACCTTCCATTTATGATCAGCTTATTTTCAAATAAGGTCACACTCATAGGTACTAGGGGTTAGGACTTCAGTATCTTTTGATGTAACACAATTCAACCCATCACACTAAAAAAAGACTAGAAAAATGAAACGGAAATTATATAAAATGGTGGACCAGAAAGCTCCAACCCTTTGTTTTCTCACAAAAACATTAAATAATGAACTAAGACTGACCAAAATAACTTCATACAAGCTCTAAAAACCAACCAAAGATCTGCAAGAACCAGGGGAACTCATCATAAAAAAATAACAAATTTTAAAAAGCACATTTTAAATAGAAAATTGTACTTACCCTTACCCAATCCCTGCTTGGGCACCATAGGGCATAGTCTAGAGGAAGAGCTTCTTTCTGATTCCCTCCACTTGGATGGAAGGAAGGTAGTGAAACTTGTTTACAAATTCTGGTCTGTCTGGGGGCTGTCCAAATGACTTGTTTCTGTTTTGTTTGACACAGAGATCAGATGAAGAATGGTCATATAGTTGGCATCTCAGACTGGCAAAAACCACAGAAGGCAGTGGTGGGTGGTATCTCACTTGAAAATGTCAGTGGACTGCAGTTTTGCAAATGCCTGGGAGCAAAAAAATGCAGGCAAAGGAACACAATAGAACATCAAATGCCCCCAGAAGAAACTCGAGTGAGATTCTTTGGGAAATTAGGACATTTTAAAGCAGTCATATACAGAGGAGAATCCAAGGGGAGGAGCATATGTAGTTCTAGAAAAGATGCATGCCTCCAAAAGACTTGATGAGATTAGTAAGCCCCTATGTCTGTGCTTCCAAGGCACAGAGACCCAACAGTTAGTGAAAGTCTTTTACATTAGCATGCAAAGACTGGGAGAGGTAGCTATTTATTCTAATACCCAATTCTTAGCAAAAGATAATACCTGGAATGGGGGAGAGGACACATTTAAAGTAGAAAACTAAATTGCTGGAAACTGATCCTAAAGACAGACAAATATTAGAGTTAACTAGAAAAAGGTTTTCAGATAGCTATCTTTTTTTTTTTTTTTTTTGAGGGGTTTTTTGTGTGTGGGGGGTTGGTTTTTTGCTATAGGGTGTGTGTGCTCGCCAGGAAGACAGAGAGAGACAGTCAGAAAGGGAGAAATCACCCCCCAGGGGGGATGACCACACTGCAATCCCTTCTCTTCCATTCTCCTCTCGGGATCTTGGGCATGCACGCACATGTACCCAGCGTGAATTTAAGCCACTGGGTCTGGGACTCAAACCACGGTCGACTACATGGGAGTCCAGCGACATGCCATTACACTAACTGCTGGTCCCTCAGAGAGCTATCTTAAGCATACTCAAAGAGCTAAAGAAAAGTAATAGACAAAAAGGATATCAGAAAAACTAAACAAAATGAGAATATCAACAAAGATAAAAATTATTTTTAAAAGAATTAAATCTGTGGGCCAGCAGGTGGCATAGTGGTTAAGGGTGCTGGACTCCCACATGGCTGACCATGGTTCAAGTCCCAGACTTGGTAGCTTACATTCTCACTTCCTCTATCTCTCTTTTACTCTCTTACTTTCTCACTCTGCCCCTCTCAGGTCAAATTAAAATAAATACAGTTCAATAAAATGATTCTTTAAAAAATAACCAAATCTGGAGTAAAATATTACAATAATTAAACTGAAAATTTTGTTAGAGGAGACTTCTGGTTGCTAGTTAGCATGAAGTTGCCACTTCATTGCTCTAATGAATCTAAGAAGAGTTGTTGACTCAGTTTGCTTGGGTATTTCACTTGGAGTTATGGGAGCGATGAAATCCAATCTCCTTACATGCTAACTACCCTCAAAATTAGAGACACAGGTAAATATAGAGAATCACAACTTAGAAATGAACACACATGAACAGAAGCCTGTATAAAAACCACTACTGGTGAAGGAAAACCTGAACTATAATTGACAAATATCTGGAGGTTCATTATGGAAAGATTGAAAATCCCCGGGGAGAGACCTGATTATAAGGAAGCCCTCAGACTTTTGTGACATTTACCTATAGAAACTAGATCAGGTCATCACAGTAAATAGTGAAGAAAAATCCCACTGTGCTTCCAGTAAAGATAGGGAAAATGGAAAGTAAAAGTACAATATAGCATTCTGTTACACATAACAAGGCTTTTCCTCAAAAGAAACTGTCTTGTTAGAGCCTAAATTATTAGGTTTTAGCAGAACCTGATGTGGTATCTTCATAGTAGGTATACAGGGAAATGTGGTATGTCTATGGGAAAGCTCTGTACATTTTGCTCTATAGTAATCTTCAATATAATGGGCTTATTTCACATTTCAATGTCCATTCTCAAATAAATATTTTGTTTTAGAGATCTTTTCTGGTGTTTAGGTTTGACATAATTTGTGACAGAAATGGGATTATATAAGTTGTTTTGGAAGAATTATTGGCAACAAAGATGGCTACAAAGATCAACATCAAGGGTAGTATCAGCCCAAAGTTGGACAGGAAATTGCTGAGCGGATGTATTAACAGAAGAGTGTGTGTGTGTGTGTGTGTGTGTGTGCGCGCGCGTGCGTGTGTGCATGTGTGTGTATAAGGGTGTAGTAGCCTTGTGCAAAGTTATAGTTCTGGATGAATCCTTGAAATCTTGTTGTCAGGCATAGGTACACGAGATCCTATCTCTTCATGGTCTTTCCAGTTCTGCTTTGTCAGATTTGATACAAATGACTCCATTTTGAATCTGCTGACTTTCGCAGTATACTATTTACAAGAGGTATACCTAAAGCATAAATGGAAAGAGAGGCTGATAGAAAGGTTTTCAAAAAATACTAGGCAAAAACTGAAAAATTCACTACAGAAGTGTTGAAAGTGTCATTTTTTCAGGAACACAGGTATATGAATATAAAATCCATTTAATGGTGAGAAAACATGAGATGAATTAAATTGAGAATATTGTGCCAGATGACTGACCAGTGCCCTTTAAAATGTCATGGTCATGAAGGACAAGGGGAGACTGAGGAATTGTGACAGACTGGGGGAGACCACAGGGATATGGCAGCTAAATGCACTGTGTAGGATCCTTGTATGGAAAAATAAATTAATAATTTTTTAAAAAAAATGGTAAAATCTGAATAAGGTCTGAATTTTAATGAAAAGTATTATACTAGGTTTTTTTTTTTTAGTTTTGTGTAATAGCTATATCAGATGCTAAAAAAGGGGAAGCTGGGTATGTGTGCATTCTATGCACTATCTCTACAAGTCTAAAATGTTTTTTTTTAATTATTTTTTATTTAACTTTATTTTAATTTGACTAGAGAAAGACAGAGAGAGAGAAAGTGAGGAAAGAATCCTCCAAGTCCAGGACTCAAACTGTGGTCGGCCATGTGGGAGTCTAGCGCCCCTAACCACCACACCACCTGCCGGCCCCTAAAATTGTTTATAAAATAAAAGTAAACTATAGATGTATACAAGCCTAGTTTTATTTTCATATATCTCACAATTCCTTAAAAAATACCAATGGAGACAAAAAGGGTATTTTTCTCTGATTATTGTTATCATCAAATATTTTTGTTGATTATTATTTTTGTGACTTATTTCACATATATTTTGGTGGTGGTTATTTTCATTGAAGTTTTAGGAAATGATTCAGTAGTTCAAGTTTAATAACCAATGGAATCAGAAGTGTTTCAGGAAGTTACAACAGCTGAGCTACGACAGGTGCTCTTATTACAACATTTGTTTTCCATTTCCAGTGGTATATCAAAGCTTGTTAACGTCCCTCTTCTCTTCCTTCCTCTTCATTAATTGAATGTGCCCATCTAATTTCTACCTCCTTCATACTTCCTGCAGATTATGATTTCAGATTTAAATTTTCCATGTCTGAAGATACAGGGGTTAAGAAGAGGTTGATTGTATACATAGAAGACCCAATGGTTTCCATGAAAAAATTTCTGGAAATAATACATGAATACAGTAAAGTTACAGGATACAGAATCAATATACAGAAATCTATAGCAATTCTATATACGAACAGGCAGACTGAGATAGAACTGAAAAATGTTATTCCATTTACCATAGCCACAAAAAGTATAAGATACTTAGGAATAAATCTGACCAAAGAAGTTAAAAACCTCCACAAGGAAGACTATGAGAAGCTAAAAAAGAAATGGAAAATGATACAAAAAAGTGGAAGGATATTTCATGTTCCTGGATGGGAAGAATTAATATAATTGAAATGGCAATTCTACTCAAATTAATCTACATATTTAATGCAATGCCAATCAAAATACCAGACACATTCTTCACAGATCTAGGAAAGACAATCATGAAGTTTGTCTGGAATCATAAAAGACCCCGTATTGCCAAAGGAATTCAGCAGAAGAAGAGTGGAGTGGGTGGCATCTCATTCCCTGACCCAAAAATATACTACAAAGCTGTGGTAATCAAAACAGCATGGTACTGGTGCAGAAACAGACACATGGACCAATGGAACAGAGTCCCCAGAAATGAATTTCCAAACATACAGTCAACTGATTTTTGACAAGGGGTACCAGTCAATCCAGTGGGAAAAGGAAAACCTCTTCAACAAATGGTTCTGGAAAAACTGAATTTCCACTTGCAGAAAGATGAATCTGAGCCCCTACCTCTCACCTTTGACAAAAATCAAGTCAAGTTGTATCAAAGATTTAAATCTAAGACCTAAAACTATGAAACTGCTCCTGGAAAACACTGGCGAAACTGGGAGACATTGGAGTAGGGAAA